CCTGTAAATTCTCAAGTTTTTCTCCAACTTTTCTATCCTTATCATAACCCCAAAATTTTTCGTATCTATCAACTTCAACCTCAACATGTCCACAACACGATTTGTAATGTAGTTATGAATGCCCTCACTGTTCACCAACACAATTACAGGCTTCTCCCCGATCTGTCTCCTCACCTTCATGGTGTGATTCAAAGTAAATTCCACCACTGAGTTGAGGGACACCTCAACTACATTAAGGAGAAAGTGCTCCTCCCCCTCTATCATTTCTTCCTCCAACTCATATTAGCCTTCCCTCCATCACGAACTTTAATGACCTAAAGCATGTGATTCTTATATCGGTGTTCTGGTACATACTTAGAAACTCAATCCCTAGATGAACCCTCATGTCCCTCCTTGGCTCCTCTTTCTAAATTGACACTGTATACATCCTCGCTGTTAGGAAGTTACTTCTGTAGAATCACCGCATGGTGCATCTTTTGTTGGTCTTCTCCATCTAATTCTTGTCTTACATCATCTGTGCTAGCTCCATCGTTTCCACCATTCCTCGTTGTCTCAACACTTAGAGGGGTTGCAAGTATGCTGGCTTTGGACCCCTCATGAAATTCCACTCCAATAGTGCTTCAGAAATCCCTCTCAACTGTACCGACAGTAAGTCGAATCGCTTTCTATACTCCATGGCAGTTCCCTCCTGAGTTAAGACAAACAATTACTTGTATAGATCTTCTTCCCAAATTGCTCCTAAACGTTTCAACAAGTAATCCTTAAATTCCTCTCACAAGTGTATTGGGTATTTTGCCTCCCTTCACTTAAACCATGCTAGGGCTTTTCCCATCCAAACATAATCTTGCTATCATGAGCTTCCACTTCCCATTTAGCCTATTCATCGTGAAATATCACTCCACCCTGTACACCCACCCATGTGTATCTTCTCCCTTGAAGATCGACATCTTCAACTTTGTAACCTTAGCATCTCTACCCCAACTTCGTCTCCCTCTGGTGTTTTACCCATGTATTTAGGATAATATTCTCTACTTCGATCATAATCATAACCCTTATTGGCTTCTCTCCTTCCTTCTTCTTGCTTCTCAATATCTCTTGCATAACCCTTTCTCCATGTTTCGACCAACCCCTTCATCCCATCAAAGCCCTAGGAGAGGGTTCTTGATGGTGAATGCTTTCCTCCTTACTTTCCTCTTGTCTAATATCTTTCTCTTTTGATTTCACCAAGGATTCTTCGGTCAACCATTGATTTGAGTTTGCGAATTGATCCATCGACATCACCATGGATTGCATAAGCCTCATGATCTCCTCAAAGCTCTTGAATCAGTTTTTTGTGAAGGAATACCCTTAGTCTATGGTTGAGAATCTTTATTCTTTGTTTTCTTTCTAGGTAGTCTGACTCGCGACTTTATTGGGAAGTTGTAAGTAGCGATCACATCCCCGACTAACTCGATAACTAGATTCGTGGAACTCCTGTACTCGATCCTTTCATTGACTTCCAAACTAGCTCTTATCGGGTTGTATCACGGGGTTTGGTCCCCGCAATCTCGTCTATTCGCGGCCCTATATGCATCAGTCCCGTTGCTACTTGCCAGCTGGCTCTAATCGCGACTATTTCAAGATATTCACACAGGCGACCCGACGTTAGGGGTGTAAACCGGCCGAACGCTAGCGAGCCCATGCTCAACTCGTGTTCGGCTTATTAAAAAAATACCACTGTTTGTGTTCCACTTGTTTATATTTTGAACACATTAAAAAATGTGTTGTGTTTGGGTCGTTTGCTTAACGAGCCGAACACAAGCAATTTGTGAACAAAGAGTCTTTTTTAATATTGTAGTCACGCAACCATAGGATGTTAAGGTTCTTATTATTTATATTGAAACATCATTTAAATATAATTTAGTTTTTTTTATTCTATTTTTTAAACTAATAATTTTAATTGAATAAATTTTTGTAACCTAGTAGTCAATCAAAATTTTTAGAAATACTACTCATATACATACATATATATATATATATATATATCTATACATATATATATATATATATCTCTATACATGTATATAATATAAGTTAATTATTTCGAGTCAAAACGAGCCGAACAGGAACAAACAAATCTTTGTTTGTGTTCAACTCGTTTATATATCAGGCGCAAAAAAATTGTTCATGTTCGACTCATTAATTTAACAAACGAATCGAGCACGAGCTTCTTAACGAGTCGAACACGAACTCTTCATGAACCACTAGCTGTTTTGACAGCTCTACTCGATGTATCCTACTTCTTGCCACGATCTGTATCACGACTACTTAAACAAGTGAACTAGACACGATCTTGAGAGTGGCTTCTGAGCGAAGGAGACGCGATCCCATCGGCTTCCCACAAAAATCACTATCCTGTTTTGGCTTCCTAGAGAAATCGTTGTGAATTAGGATTGATGCTTTGACACCAATTTTATACTAATCGAGACGCTTTCTCCACAGAAATTAGGGCAAATAAAATATCTTTCTCATCTAACACAAAACAATGCAACTCAAATAAATAAAGATAAACACCTATAATTTGACCGGTACGTGATCTCTCCGAACACCTACATTTCGAGAGGTAGGCGACCTTCCCAAACTTTAGAACTAACACTTAAAGGCCACAATCTCCTCCATACCCTAATCCTAAGCATAATAAGCTCATATTTATGCCCCATAATAATAATTAATAAAGGACTAAACCGTCCTTAGGCACCGGCATAATATATTTATAGTGCTCATTTAATAAGGGTTGGTCACTTGATGCCAGAAGTGTGCTAATGATGATTTTTTAGTGAAAGAAAGAGCAGCTGATGATTATTTACCAGGATACTATGAGAGTGTAGATTTATTCAATTTGTGAAATTTTTTCTCATATGTTGGATAACTGATCAAAGGTTCTAAGATTATGGAAAAAAAGGTGAAAATGTTGGTTTTAAAAATTTTTTTATGGATTCAACATGCATGATTTTATAATTGACTGTGTTTTGAATTTATAAGTCTATGGTAGTCACAAAACGCCAAATAGTAATTACGATGATCTGTTTGAAATTGAAACAATTTTGCATTTAAATTCTCAATGTGTATTTTAAATTTGAATTTTGTATTTTAAACTTTTGCTGTAATTAGTTTGTTGAGTCTGTAAAAGTCAGCATTCACATGCTTATGATATATCCTATCGCTTTAAGTTTTTCTTCTGTCTTGTAGTTACTTGTTCATATAACCTGTCATGTTTTCAATTGCAAAATTTTTATCGGAATTCTTCTACAATCTAAATTCTTTTGATGTGCATCCTTTTATCTAGGGAATTCTGTTGTTGAAATTTTTTTCTTTTTGTGGTTTTCTTGGCATCCGGCTTCTCTGCCATAATCTTGTTGGTTGAAAAATTCTCTTGCTGTTTTTAAGAATGCAGCTCTTGTGGTTTCCTCAAACTTATGCTACTCATCTGGCGATTTCATTGGCTACATAACTATTCCTAAGGGTTTCTTCAGGGACTGTGGCAGAGACAGGCTATGCAACTTCCCTTAACAGCTTTGTTTTGGCTCTGTCATATGTTCTATGTTCCTATAGTCTCCTCCTTCATTCAATGACTGCTTCTTCTGGTTATATTTTGTGATTATAAATTCAGATACGAAGCATGTGAAGTTAAAAATGAATAGTAAATAAAATGTTGGTTTGGAAGTGTTATTTTTTCTTTTGGGATTCAATTTCTTGATGGTGTGAGACATCAAATTTTATGGGAGGCTATCTGCGTTTATAAGCTAGAAATTTTTTGTTCTAGTGACTCTTTGTTCCCTTTTCTAGCACTTCTTTTTATTTCAAATTTTATTTTGAAAGTGAGATTATTTATTGTCATCATTTTAATTTATTTTAATTCTTTTGTTTTTGTGAGTAGTTATTCAAGATTGATAGATACCTTGCGTCTTGCAAAATTTTTTAGTGTTGCCTTATCTTCTATATTGAACTTCAGATCTTTGTTTCTATCATAAATCACTAAATAGCATGCACATGCCTGGGGTCAGGAATACACAAAGCCTTTGAAATCGCATCAGGCATGCTATTTGGCATATTTCGTTTATTATGTTTTATCTTTTGCTGTATTTTAAGGGCATTAGGCAGTTTTTGGACACTTATCCAATGCTTCACACACACTTTTTTTTGGATATTATAATGGCACTTCTTCATTCTATTGTACATATAACGAGGAATTATATTCAAATAAAGTGGACCCAACTCCTGTTCCAATATAATTTAAATCGAAGTCCCATCATTTGAACTTTCTTACTCCTATTCTCACTAGAAACTTCTAGTACTTTTTATTGATATCTATGTAAAATACGTGCTCAAAAAATCTAAAATACTTTTTGAACATCATCTTTAAGAGATATTCATTAAAAGGTGCTAGCTTGGTTACTACTTTTTCATATGTAATGCTTCTCTTATATTTGATATGCCTCATAAACTAAGGTGTGAAAAATGTATTGATTTTGTGGTGTAGAAAGTTCTATGTAATATGATAATAAGCTTTGTGCTTTATATAATTTATTATTTTTTCAAGTTTTGCATGAAGTTGTATTTTAACTATTATATAACAGGGACATTTTTTTTGCATATTTAAGGATCTTTTATAAAAATCTCTATAATTAGCACAAAAAGATACAGACTCGGTGTTTAATCCTTTGATATAATTTTACCGTAATTAAAGACCTTTTGGTCATAATATTTTCTTTGTTTCGTTTTGTCCTTCCATTGCCTTTTCTCTGCCTTCCCTGGTTGAATCCTTTTTCTTATGGTTACTGATTTACCTTTATGCACGCAACGTACTTTTTTTATGTTTCTTTTAATCGGTCTGTAAGTTCCATGCTTGATACCGGTTCTTCTAAAGTATGAGTACTAGTTTTGAGTTCTGCTAAAACATTTTGGGCACCTTTGATTATTTCTACCACGTTAACTGACTAGAAAGCTTTTCTTTGTTGCAGTGACAAGGCTTACTTTGTAGATCTATTTGTAAGGGCATCTAACATGCCAGCCATTAAGATGTATGAAAAGGTATGTTGTCCGCTGAATTTCGTACATTTTCTGTGACATGGTTTGGTATATTCTTACTTTTGAATACACACTTAAGTGACGAGGCATGCTGAGAATGCTTTTCAAGGCACCCTTTGTTCTTGGTAAACTTTTCCCCTGCACTTTTTGCAAGCGTCAATTGTCAATCAGATTCATTTGTGAAGAGGAAATGGGTGACAACCCCCCTACCCAGTCATTGTTGACTTGAAACTTATGTTAGTAGAGTGATAAGGCATTGTGTCCCACTAAGTTAACTTTTTGAGCCTTGCAGAGTTATGAGATATATTATAATGATTTGGTTCATAAAATGTTTCAATAAAATTTTGAAGATCGTGAGAATGATAAATGATTGGAAAAGAAACATTTTGGTACTAATATATAAGAATAAAAGCAATATTCAATATTGAGATAATTATATAGGAATCATCCTTATGAGTCATACATTAATCCTATCGAAGAATGTTATAGAGCTTAGGATTAGAAAAATCACATCGCTTTTAAATAACTAATTTCGTTTCATGCCAGAAATATAATATTGTTGCATGCTTGAAAATTCTTGGTGATAGAGATTAAGATTTGTGTCTTAGCTTATGCAAAGATCCTACATAAACATGAAAGAGGAAGTTGCACACAAAAAGGGCAAATGCCACGTGGCCTTGCCTAGATGAGATAGATTCATTGGTCCGGTCTGAGTTTGAAATTACAAATGTCCACCACCATGCCTATAACTGATGTAAGCATTTAGACTACTTGAAACCTCTTGAGGTGTTAGGTGAGGGTGTTGAAGGCTTGTGATACAATAAGGTACAATGGACGTCGTTTGGTGCTGTTAGTGAAGAAGAATGATGATATCTGATTTGGAGTAGAGCATTGGCAGACATTGATTAGCTGATGCTAGAGTTGATAAATTGTGAAGAATGGCATCAAGAATTGAATGTTAATGGCCATCAGGTTTTGAATGTCTACGCATCGGGAGTTGGACATCGAGAGGCATCTAGAGTTGCACACTGACATTGGTAGATTGTGATGTCGGATGAGATTTGACAACAGGCTTCTGGTTTTATATGTTGATACTTATTGGCAACAGACAACGTTAGTCATCATATGGTGAATCTGAGAATATCCAGGTTGTCTTTTGATTGTTTAAGAAGCAGTCAGGGTCAGAATTCTCTACAACTCCAGAGTATATAATGTCTGTAATATGAAAAATTAGGAGAGTTCTAGCCTATATGATAAATTTTTGTGGTGGGCAGTTTAGTTTTTATTTAGGATTATCATGTTATATTTCTTCTTTTTATTTACAATAGGTTGATCTTGCCTATGTGCTTACCAAATTGACCTGCCTTGGCTTGGCAACCAACAATGGTGGTATAGCAGTAGCTACTTGTTGCAAAACCTGCAATAAATAAATAGAAAACACCAATTCAAAACCCTTGATTCCATCAGCTTGATAGAGTTTGTAGATTGAAGATTGATGGCTGAATTTTCTAACATAAAACTAAAGCTTAGATGTATTTGATCATCATGGAAAAACGATCATAATTGGGCAGATTCTTATTGTTGATTTATTCATCTTTTTAAGAGCTATCCAACATCAATGATGATTCATGAATTGGATGTTTATGTGTGACACAATAATTTCAATGCTATGGAAAATATATTTAGGGTTGACAAATATGATGATGAAATTCTTTCATTTTTTGGTGAAATGTTTCCCTTAATTAGAGCAATCCAATGTGCAAATAGTTCGTGATTCTGAAGCTTGTATACAAATGTAGCAATGGCTTTGAGAAATTATGCACAAATCAGAGCACCTAGTTGGGAGGAGATGGTTGGGTGATGATTGAACATTGTTTCCCTTGGGTTGAGTATCCCTTGCATCACCTTAGTCATGTGAGGGAGAAGGGGAAGTATTGGACTCCTGCTGATTGGTTTGATTTAGAGTTCAACTTTGGTCTGAAGCGCATGATTTTGATTTTATTTAATTTTCTCGTCCAACTTTATTTGTCTTTGCTATAAATTTATTTAAATTATTTTACATATGCTCCTTAAAATTATTTCTGTAAGTTCTTAAATTTGATTTTGGGCATTTTTTAATCAAAGAAATTGTGAAAAAAATCATGATATATTAGTCAATTTTGTGAGTCATGTCATTTGCCCCTATTTTCAGGCACTGATATAAATATGAAAATATTTTAGTTCTTGAAAATTTTGCTGCTTAAAAACTGAAATGTAAGGTGCAAATTTGTTCATCTGGAAGCTTTGAGCATTGTCAACCCATATTTCAATGAAAAAATTGAAACTTTTTTGCTGAAAATCCTCAAAAATAGACATAAATGTTCTATTACTGGCCAAATATACCAAAAATCTATATAAAATGTTGAAAATTTGTCCCGAATGATCCCAAAACACCAAAAAAGACCTGAACATACCCGAGATTGGGCTTTTTATCTTTTATATTTTAAATTCTTTTAGATAAGAATATTGATTTCTTTTGCAGTAAAATATCTAAAGAAGTAGCTAGAAAGACCTTGAAAGTTTAAAAAAAGTTGAATTATTTGTTTTTTAATGCCCGTCTTTATGTATACCCTACCTCCTTCGGGGATTTTGGAGATTATAATGTTGCTTCCCATTAATCAATTATGCTCTGAATAATCGACCAAAATTGTCTTGCAATCATCAAAATTGCAAGCTGGTGTTTAAATTTGTCAATCCAGGCTTCAAGGTTCTTGTCTTCCTCTAGAAGGGGCTTATTGTATTGGTTGTCAAGTACAAGAATTGAGGCAGTAAAATATGGGGATTTGGATTTTTTTTTTAAATATTTTGTTAGATTTTAAGGTATTTATTGTTTTTTTAATTGACGTCTCATTGTCTGGTGATTTTTCTTGAATAATACTAAATTATGAAGTTTATTGTGGTTTATGGGGACATTCAAAATAACTTTTAAATTTCTTTCCTACTAAGGTGTTGTAATTTACTTGGAAATTTTTTTTTAAATCAAAACCCTTGTGAATTTATCTTTTGTTGTTCCTTGAATTTGAAAGTTTTTTGTGACTTTTCACCTTGTCAAAAAAATTTACTTTTTTTTTTTTTTTTTCTTTTGAGATGCATTTTTTGCATATTTTAGATTTACAATTTTTTCACAATTTTCTCTTAAGTATTTTTTTTTTAGAAAAAACTCAAATTAGCTATTGATTAGTATTTCTTGCTTTATGCTGTTGTTATTTAGATATGGGGTGAACCAATCATGTTTTTTGATGCGCATGTTGTTGGTTCAAAGGACTTGGATGATCTTTTTGTTTGTACTAGGCTCTTAGGTTTTCAATTTTTTCAACCCTTGATTGTTTTTGACCTTATGCCAAATTTTATGAGTGGACTTTCCGTCTTGACTGGATGCTTCAGTTGAAGCAAAAAGTGACCCTGGTTTTGTTAAAAAGTTTTCCCAAAAGTTTTCTCATTAGATCATTGTAATTGATTGGGGTTTACCCATATTATTTGTCAATGTTGTAGAAATCAAAGTAAGGCTAACTACATGAAATTTAAGAATAGGTTTAGAAAGCATTCATGAGGTTAATGTAGAAAAGCTATAGAGGTAATTATTTGTGGCAGGATGCATTCGAGGATTCCTTGAAGAAATTTGCTTTATACATCATTGTAATATTTTAGATTTGATGTTGAGGGACTCATCACAAGTCAATTTTCTGGCAACTGCTTCCTTGATGTAGAGAATGACGATATTGTCTTCTGCTTTTTATCAGTGTTGTTTTCTTCCATCGATGCTTACATAAGTTTCATGGTATGCCTTGTGCTGATAGAACATAGCATGCAATTCTTATGTATTTACAGATTTCATATCTATCTTTTCATATTTATACTCATAGCTCTCAAATCTTTAATATCTCATCAAAAATAGCGCTATTATCACTTTTTAAAAGTGAAATACACCTTTTCATGCATAGGTTTAATGAATCAAAATGCTATATATGATGAAAGTTTAGGTTTCACTAAATTAGTGAAATTTCTTGCTATTATAAGTAATCTTATAGACTACATTTTCATCATTGTAAATATATGTTTGAGAGCTATAAAATTCTTAGATTTCACTAAATTAGTGAAATTTCTTGCTATTAGAATTAGATTTATAAACTAATAGTGAGAGAATGTTGCCCCAAATGAAATAGGGTGGATATGATCCCTTGGTCAATGAAGTTGGGCAGTCTTTCTTTTCCCTTGTTGTTTTGTGCTTTTTTGGGGCTCAAATGATTATACGTAATCTTATAAACTTTCTATTGAGAAACCCAATCTACATTCGGTGCCTAATGCGGCTTTCAAATTAGCATTTTCTTTTAGGACTTGTAGATAAGTGTGGACTCTTTCTCTTTTATTTTACCTCGTGTCTTTGTATTATGAAGCCCTTCTAGAAACTTTCTTGTGCTTTTAAATTGTTGATCTCTGAGATCTTTTAAATAAGTATAAACTCTTTTTGTCATTTGCCCTTTTGTGGTTCATACATTATGGAATCCCCTTGATAACCTTTTGGTGAGAACCTTGTTCTCCACTCGTTGCCCTCAATCACTTTCAAATAAGCATGCCCTCTAGATAGAAGAAATTCAAATTTGTTTATTTAACCCACCTAAGGTCCATGTGAGGATGAACATGAGTATATGATGACAATCACAAATAGAATTTTATTGAAATTGGGATTTTAGACTACGTGGTTTGAAATGAAAATGCTAGTGGTTTCCCAAACAATAACATCAAGAAAATAAATTCTAGTGCAAATAAAAAAGAGAACTCCTTGGCTAGTATTCAGAGGTCAAGATTACAACTTAAGTGAGATATGATCTATTACAGAAATCCCAATGAAATGAGACATTCGATTTCTTCCTTTAAGCAATTGCATTCTGTCATATGGTGGTTATAACTTATATGGAAGCCATAACATGGGGAGGAGTCACTTATAGCCGCCTAATGGGAGGAATCCATCTAAGGGCTTTCATGTATGAGTGATTGATAGGATATGGGCTTATTGATGATTCAATTTTGTAATTGTTTTTTTCTATATTGTCTCCTGATCGAGCAAGTTCGTTGTGATGGATGGTTTCATTTTTATTCTTTAGGGCGGCAAGGCATCAATTAGACAAAGAGCCATGAAGACTACATAATTCTCTCAAGATATCCTTATGAGTTTTCTCTAATTACTTCAATCGATCTCTTAAGGAAAACCTAGAGAGCATAAATCCTAATTTGAGTTATTAATGGTGATAGTATGTCCACTTTGTAGTTGTTGGAGACAACATGAGCCAGTTGCATTTCCTCCGACTTTTATTTCATCCCGTAACATGGGGGGGTTTATGCTTCAAGTATGGAATGGATTTGATTGCAATAAAATTGGATAAGAGGGGTTGATTATTTTGTCATAGAATAGCCCAACATCTACCTACAGGATTTGGACGAGCCAAATTGATCACAAAGGTAGTTCTCTTAAGGTGCTTGGAAAGGTGATCATACCAAGACTCTTGATAGATTTTCTTCAAGTAATGCATAGCGTAGATAGTTAAATATTTATGAAATATGCGATAATATGCCCACAATATTGCAATCAATACCTTTGGTGTGCTTATTGATGGAAAATCCCATCTTTAACTAAAATAATGGGAGATTATTGATGTTGGTAGCATAGTCTGTCAAAATCATCAAACATAATTTGGTTATCCTATGGTTCTTCTTGAGTGGCGTGTAAGGTTGTAGTGTTGTGTAATGATAGTTTCAATGATCCTGATGAATTCTTTCCTCTTGGCCTTCGAATTCTCTGCCTTTTGGCTAGAGACTTCAGGCTTATCTTGCTAGTATTGTTCAAAACATTCTTGAAAAATCTTTCATTCTATCACTTCTTTTACATAGAAATATATTTTTATAAAATGACTTTTAGAATGATGGAAATGATAATACGTGGATTTATCTCTATCATCTAAGCATTTCAATGGCTCAGGCCACTTAGTTTGTTTAGTGTTTTAGATTTGTATGAGGATGCTAGTTCTGAATATATTTAATGGTGACATGGTGTATAATTGGATTATTGTTATTGTTGTTGATTTTTGTTTTGGAGGTTGTGAAGGAATACCTTGGTCTTTTAGTTCTCTTGCTTCTAGTTATACATTGTTTGTTTTCTTCTTGTTTAACATTTGTAGGTAGATTGAGAATTTTTGTTGATGAGTGTTAATAGCTTCATCAGCAATGATCTTTATTTTAAATCGGTAAAAAAAAACTCCTTTTAACAAATTTTGAATCTATTGGAAAATTTTCAGAAGAGTTCTTTTAATGGATTTTCTTCATTCTGAGTAATGCTTAAACGATGGAAGGATTTTTCATGATTCTTATATTTTGATGAATTGATAAAAGCATTGAGATATTTGTGAAGGACAGAGGAGGCTAGATTCGAGTTTATTTAATGAGCATTGCTGGAAATAATGTTCTTGATTGCATTGAAGTGATTGATTTGCTCACAATTGTCAAAATGTCATTGTAGAGATTCATTTATAAGTAGCTTAAGATGCAGTGATTTATGAAAATCACTGTGGAACAGAGGTTGCACCCTTATATGATATTCGTGTCACATCAAATGCCAGGGTTTATCATAGAGGATGTCACATCAAATGCCAGGGTTTATCATAGAGGATGTCCCATAGCTAGAGATTGATTGCAAGCAAAATATTTTGCTCATGATGGATGGTTAAGCTAGCTGTGTTGACAAGGTTTTCAATAGCGGTAAAGGTGCTTCGGCCTCCAATATGGTGTTTAGTTTGAGGGAGAGTCCAATGGAACCTCACTAGTGTGAGAGGCTCAGCTGCTTAGTCTCGCAAAGGAGACTGAGGATCTCAATCTATGATTTTTTTTATACCATACACACTGCTGCCAAGGATGGGTCCAAAGTTTCTTTGCTTGCAAAGTTTTGACCGTTGGAAGTAAGAAGTTGTATATAGATCATGGATTGCTTTATTTGAACATCTATAGGTAGATTTTTTGAGTAAATTGGACTTGAGCTAGAATTCTCCAAGAATATTATTCACTATTATCAATAATGGATGTTTTATATCGCATCTTGATTTGATTAAAGATTAAGGGTTTGTTTGGGATGGCTACAACTAGGGCTGTAATCTAGCCGAGTATATCATAGTTTAGACTTGGCTTTGTATAATTATAAGTTATTTATGTTCGGCTTGAGCTTGTGTCGGGCTTTGATATTTTGTTCAGGCTTGACTTGTTCAAATTTTTCATTGTTTGAACTTGATTTCTTTATCACAAGTGAACGATATTTAAACGAGCTAAAAATTCAAACAAATATCTAGATTCTCATATAAAAAATTTAATAAATTATTTTAAAAATCTAATCACAGCTATTTATTTATCGATTATAAACTCTAAAATCTTTGTACTTTACTAATTAGCTATATCATTCTTAATGATAGGCTACACTAGTTTAAATTTTGTAAGTGGATAAACTAAACTGAACTTAAAAGTTGTAGGGACGACTATTTAGATAATCATATTATTAATAAAAAAATATCAATCATATTAATGATGCTATACTATATTACTATTGAATATATAATTTAATAAATTTTAGATGATTAAATTTTATTTAAATAATATATCATATATGATACGAGCTATCATCGAACTTAATATTGAGTATTTAACAAAGTACTTATTGAACAACAAACGAGTTTGTTCGTGAATATAAATGGACAAGTTGGACCATGTTCAGGTTTAGTTCATTTAAGCTTTCGAGCATTTAAAAATTGTTCAAGTTTATTTGTTCATTAATTTGAACGAACATGTTCGAGCCTTAATCGAACTGAGTTTGAGCTGTTTATCAAGTGCATTGGTTCATTTACAGCCCTAAGGCCTACAACTTATTTTAAAAGGTGATGGTAAAGTTATGGTGAAGCAAGTAATTTTCTAAAAAGCGGTGGGAAATAGAAATATATGTTTTCTTCCAAAAAAAATCAAACAATTTCTCCTAACCATGGTACTTTAACAAATTAGGTTAAAAAAATAAATTCTCACCACAAAAATTTAGAAAGCTGCAAGAAAACTATTCATTAAATAGAATTATGGTGGCGGTCTCAAACATAAAGTAGGTAAAAAGCTGTCCCAAATAGACCCACCTAAATGGATAATCCCACCATTGTGCTAGCTCAATGGATCGTTTGAAGCCATGATGAGGCCTAATAGCTATTAGGTTCTAGTATTGAAGTCTCCAGATGTTGAATGGAATGGGGACCTTTCTGAACTCCTCAATGCCACAAACGCCAAGGATTCGACAAGATAAAAGTTCAATAATTGAATTTTTTTCTAACGAAATTTCATCACATGTTGCAGTGGACCTTAACCAAAAAAATGGTGATCTCACAAAATGTCCCAATTTGGCCTGTTCTCACCACAAATATGGTTGGAATCATATGATTCTATTGGATTTTTCCTGTAAAATCACAATATTTTAACTATAATTTTGATAGAAGTAGTGTTGTCCTTGAATTAGCGTCTGAAGTTTTCAGTTTGATTTTTGGGCATTTTTCTCTGATAAATTGCCGAAAAGTTTTTCTTGATTGAATCATTTTTTGACCCAAATCAATTATAGAAGTAATTTTATGTTAAGATATTTAATAAAAAAATTCATATGCCCATATATCTATATATATAAAGCATTGACTAGTATTATAATTAGTTGTAGAGTGTTCCTTGAGTTTTGAGTTACGATATTTCTACTGAATTTTTTGTGTACAATTGGCTTAGCTTGCATAATGAAATGTTTATCTCATCTCTGTAGTCACGACTGGGTTTATGAACACCTTCGTGAATCTCCTTTTTAGATCTAACGTAATTTTCTTCGACTAACAGCTTGGTTATATAGTATACCGGCGTGTGCTGCGCTATTATTCTGGCGAAGAAGATGGTCTCGGTGAGTCACTCAAAACTCAGTCATGATGAATTTTAAAA